TTGGTTGCCCTTGCACTACAAGCTGAAATATTGGAATTAAGAGGCGGGGTTATGGAAACGACTTTGCATCACATTTTTGTATAGACTTAAGTTTTATTGAATAAACCAAAATTTTGACAAGGCAACTGTGTTTTTTATCCTCATCCACAGATTTTCGTTACTGAATTGACGGAGAAACCAAAATATCTACAACATGTCTGAAAAGAAGGAGAATGTTGCATTACCTGAAGCTGCTGCTTCGCAACCCAAGCCAGAAGAGAATAAGAAGAAGAATGGTACTAAAAGAAAAGGGAAGGGCGCTCAGAAAAAATCAACGGAAGCATTTCGTGCAAGAGTGAGTGATCAACAATAGGAAGCGTTCACTAACAAGCTCAAGGCTACTTATGGATTATTGGATTCAGATAGAGATGGAAAGATCGCTGAGGTCGTAAATACGGTCCAAATTTCCGTCCAGCCCCGTGCTGCGCCAATGTCCATAACAACCCGTGCTGTGGGCTTTGCCACTGCCATTGCTTATCAACGCACTTGTACTACATGGAATACTGCAGCAATTGCTGAGATTGCAACAATCCATGTTGTATATAGGGTTCACCTTTTGTTAGTGCACCTGAAACTGTATTTAGCACAACAGATACAGACCGAAGCTGTTTCCGTGGAAAACGCCCTCCAACATATCTTCTTGGCTGATGAGATACGGGAAGAATTGATCTTGATCACACAGGTCCCAAACGTTATGGCGATGATACTTGACTGCATTGGAAAGGTTGAACAGGACGGATTCATCTGGCATGTTGGTTATCCAACGCGCGATTTGTGCGATGAGGAATACGATAGTCTCGTAATTAATCCAGACACTATGCGAGATTTACTGCATCGCCTTTCAAATCCAGCAACATCGGCAGTAATGCGGCATGATTTTATTAAATATAATTCAATCCCAGGAGCAAAATTTGAAGGTGAGCTCTTGGTCAACGCTGATGATATATGGCCGGTTAGGTATTCTTCGGGTGATATACTCGCGGATATCCATTCTTACAAGAATTGGATAACTCGAAAACTCCGGGCAATCGATAATCACAACCCTCCTTGGAAAATTAATCAGGCGTCATGCGACTGGTCGTTAAATAGATATAAAAAAGACAGTACCCCTAACTCAACCTTTAAACAACTGTTTCTACAAAAAACAACCGACCTCAAAAAGAACGGATGGACTATCATTTACACAGATGGCTCCAAAACAAACTACTCAACAGCGTTTAGCGTTACGACCGAATCTGGTTCTGATCTAAGCATAAAGCAAATGATCCCTCTTTCCTCAATATTCTCTGCAGAAGCAAGTGCCATTCTAGAAGCGTTGGCGCTATGTACTCATAAAAAGCAAAAAGTGGTCATATGCTCTGATAGCCTGTCAGTCATACGACCGCACAGTGTAACTTTTTTCACTTTTAGGATGCCAAAAGTCAAAAAAACAATGTGCTCCAATCTTCAAAATTTTTTGATATGCTACAGATAAATAACCAACTGTTAAGAAAATGTATTCAAAGCAAAGCAAACAACCCACAATCCTCATGATAACCGTTATGTAACTTTGCTGATTGCAACAAGTGTAAAAATCGTTTCACAGTCTAAAAATTTTGATTATCTTTGTGGCCACGTGGTGGATTTTTGGATAACTGGTTTGACTTGAAACTATTTTATTTTACATACTTGGGTAGTTTATAACAGCATTGGTAAGTTTCAGCCACGTAGGTATTTTTTTAATTTTTTTTTTTTTGTTTAGACAGCCACTAAAAATTTGGAAAGCTTAGAAAATTTTTTGTTTTCAATAGAATAGAACTTACTTACTTCGCTCGAATTCGCCTTGATGATTATATACATATACAAAGGGAATTTAATATAGTTTCAGATAAAAAAAAAAAAAAAACCATTGCAGAAGTTTGCCGACACTATGTCATTTTTGCATATCGCTAACTCAAGGTCAGCATGCCCTTACTCATATATGAATGCACAATGACCTAACAATGGAATGTCTTCAATTCGAGTCTACGATACTACATCCGCAAAAAAGACAGTTATACCTGAAATGGTAAAAACCCAGAAAAAGGAAAGTTGTGTACTAAATAGCCTTCATTGTTTGTCATATGGGTTTTCCTATTGTTAGCGAGCCTTTAAAATCTATGTTGTGCTCTTATCCCTTATAACCATCGAGCACGTCTACCTGAGGGTCGTCTATTCTAGGTAGTACTTTTAAGCAAGTGAGTGATTTCGCTAAGACTATATAAATAAAGAACATAGCTAAAAATGCATCATACTAAAAAAGGATTGCATTGAAGTATAACCAACTGCGCTGTACCAAATTTGCCTATACCTATCATCAATTAATTATGGCTGTACCACGAAATCCACTCTTTGAAGTTTGGCTAAAAAGCAACAATGAAGAAAAGCACAAAGCTATGCTAAACCATATTTTTAGTGTAATTGGAAGAGATGTGGATCATTTAAAACTAAAACAATACATCATGAGGCTAAGTCATGATATTCGTATGAGATGGGAACGTTGTGGCTGATCTACAAAAAAATTTATTGAGCAAGAGTCTCAATGGTTATCAAAAAATCATGATTTCAAAGATTGTATCATTGATGTTGAGCCATGCACTTCTCGTGATATTCCTAGGCCGGGGAGGCCAACAAAAACCTTCGCTGAGTTATCTATACGCACAAGAAAGCGAAAAGCTAAGGAACTAATGAACAATGTCGATAATGATCAACTGTTAATGGCAGCGGAATTGAAATTACGATCATCAGGAAAAAGAAATTCTGCAAAAATAGTTGAGGAGTTGTCCTCAGCATCACCATCAAGAGGCACTGCATACAAAAAGTCCCGACTATCGGATGAAAATAAGAAAAGTTTGACACCAGATCAAGCAATTGCGATGATAGTTGACTCAAATCTTTCAACACATGAATACTCAATGACCCGGCAGCACACTTCAGAAGTTAACAGGAAAATATATCCTTCATATAACTGTCTAAAAGAATCAAAGGTTTTATGCTATCCTGAAAAAATTACCGTAACGGACACCTATGCTGAAATTGAATTGCAATCCCTAATTGATCACAGCTTACGAAGATTGTGTCTTGCACAAGAAGAGGTATTGCTTTCTATTCCTGAAGTTAATGAACTAAATGCAATTATTAAATGGGGATGTGATGGAGCTGAGCATAGCTGTTACAAACAGCAATTTTCGGAAGATAACAAATCGGACACTAGTATGTTTTTCATTTCACTAGTACTCCTTGAAATGTATACAATAGTTGACGGACGTAAGGTTATAGTTTGGAGTAATCCTGCTCCATCTTCCACCAGATACTGCCGCCCGATAAAATTTGTTTTTACAAAAGAAACACGAGATGTTATTTCAAAGGAGGTGCAATCTGTCAAAGACCAAATTTCCAGTCTTCGTCCTACAACAATTCAAACGGATAACCTAAAATTTCTAGTGAAATCGACGATTGTGTTGTGCATGATTGATGGCAAAGTTTGCAACGCTCTATCGGCATATACATCATCGCAAAAGTGCTACATATGTGGGGCTTCACCAAAAGATATGAACAATATGCGAGCCCTCTCAGAGCGAAATATTGACGAAAGCATGCTTGCTTTCGGAATTTCCCCTTTACATTCTTGGATACGATGCATGGAATGTATGCTACACATCGCTTATCGAATGGAAATGAAGACCTGGTGTGTGCGGGGCGAAGAAAATAAGGAAAAGATGAAAAAGAAGAAAGAACATTAACAAAAAAGATTCAGGAAAGAAGTTGGTCTTTTGATTGATATGCCAAAGCAAAAAACCGGCAACACAAATGATGGCAACACTGCGAGAAGATTCTTTGGAGATCCTGAAATAACATCAGACATAACCGGCATAAACATCAATCTTTTGAAAAGGTTTCATACAATACTTTCATGCATAGGATGTGGGTTTCAAATAAATGCTGAAGCTTTTGGCCATTATGTGACAGAGACAAGGGAACTATATTTATCGGAATATGCTTGGTACAATATGCCAGTGAGGGTACATAAAATTCTGTTTCATGGAAAGAGTATAATCGTGTCTTCTGTTCTTCCTATTGGTCAACTTTCGGAAGAAGCTCAAGAGTCCAGAAACAAAGATGCACGAAACTATCGTAAACTTTTCACGAGAAAAAAGTCAAGAATTTGTAGTAACTTGGATTTGCTGCACAGATTGCTGATATCGTCAGACCCGTTCATAAATAGTTTGCGGAAAACCCCTAGGACAAAGCGGCGACCATTAACGAGTGAAGTTATTAGCTTACTATCGGAACCAGAGAATGTCGACGATATTGACTCCGACTAACTTTAAAATATCACTTTTTATTTATTTTATGTATTTCGATTTAGTTTTTACAAATATATGTACCTGAGCTGTGTTTGACTTTGAAAATAAAATTTTTTAAATATTAATCAAAAGCCTCTAACTGTAAAGTTAAGAAATCTAAACAATTTTTATTTATATTCGCACTGGAAAATGCGTTTTAACTAGAAAATATGATTATGTGAAATTTCACCTTATATGAGGGCAAGGGGAAAAAGTGGGCGGAACAGGCCCATTTTCATTTTCAAATCAGATTTAGGTATCTGTAACCACACTGCAAAATTTCAAATGAATTGGTCCATTGGTTTGGCTGTTATTAATTTTGGCATCCTAAAAATGACAAAAGTTACACTGTGCAGCAGAGCAATAAGTATATTTCTTCTCATCACTTTAGCGAAAAACATTGGTGTAGCATGACAGCTAAGCAAAACAAAATGTTCACACAATATTAAGTAAAAAGTTCAATATACTTTTGGCAATAACTAAGCCAAAGTACTCAAATCAATTTAGCTTGCGCTGCACTTCTCCAATAACATAAACTCGATTGAACCCATATACATTTATGTATGCATGCACAACAACGTAGAATCATAAGCATGACTAACAACTTAGAAATGTAAGTTTGTAAATTAGATTACTCATAAGGTAGATTGTAAGCATATAAAAGAACGGCGATGAGCCGAATAAAACATTCCCACTTTAAGACTCAACGTTTTTACTTGCGTTTTACTTTTGGAATCATTGTGGGGCATTTTAATGCTCACCTAAATGCGGCTGTAGAGCTAAGACAATACTAAACTCCTTCCTTCCAATCTTTACATGGCGATCCTGCCAGCTCAAGCTAGATCCTGCCAGCTCAAATCTAGATCCTACCAACCCAAATCTAGACCCTGCCAACTCTATCAAGACCCTGCCAGTACATTATGGTAGAGGAATACGTTCCGGAAGGATCGAAAAACGCAGAAGAATACCCCAAATACATCCCTACAAAAATTGTAATAGGACCCAAACCAATATCCCTAGAGGAATACCGGCAAAGGCAAAACCGCCAAAAAGCCAACTTACAAGAGTTTAGGCAACGAATAAGCTGCGAACATAAACCCAAAAAACGTGGAGGTAGAAAGCGAAGGCACCAAAAAGAATGTGCAGAACTACAGCGAATAATTAACATCAGTCGCGGGCAACAAAAGAAGTTGATAACCAAACTAAAAGATCTGCACAAAAATGGGTGGAACCCAGCAACAACAACAACGCAGAACCACCAAAAGGATCATTAGGAAATTTATAGTATGAACAGGGAAACCACCTTAGTAGACGTCATAAATCCAAAAACTAGGGAAGAAGAAACAAGGAGAATGTTAGCACAAATAAGACAGCTATAACTAATAAAAATACAAAAAAATTTTTTTTTTTATTAAATTAAAAAACAAGAATTAATAATAAAAAGGAAAATTGTTTTTCTCATTCATTTTTTTTTTCAACCGTAAAATATTATTAACATAAAAATGACTTTCCCACTTTAAGACTCAACGTTTTTACTTGCGTTTTACTTTTGGAATAATTGTGGGGCATTTTAATGCTCACCTAAATGCGGCTGTAGAGCTAAGACAATACTAAACTCCTTCCAATCTTTACATTGGTGAGAGGACAAAGGGGTATCCCTTTATATGGTCCTTCGAGATACGAAAATATCATTATATTTAGATGTTAAATGTTTAAAAAAAGGTAGTGGCAGATGCGAATAATAATCACATCTACGCACGTTAATTAAATTTATGTCAACTCAAAAGAAACGAAATCACTGTCTCCTTCGTAAGCCATATATAAGTTGACGGTACATGCACTCGAGCGCTGCATTTGAGAAGGAATAGCGGGATTTAGACGAAAGAAACCGAGCGGCGGCGGCGGCATGGTGTGATCGTGCGCTCGGCATACATGTTGCCTTGTTAACAAACCAATGTTTTTAGAGGTGTGCGCTCGTGGAATGCCCCATCTGTGTTCGCTACGTCGTTTAATTCCGCTATTCGTGCTGCCTGCAAAGCGGGCGACGTGATAAATGCGGGAGATTGAGACAGTGAACAATAATTTTTTTTCGGAGAAAAGGTAGAAGCGAGAAACAGTGTTGTGAAACGGCCCTTTCTTGTGGCGCTAAATTTTCGACGTTTGTGTTATCGGTACGAGTATATTATTCGATTTTACGATATCAACTTATCACTACATCATAAGATTGCATACTCAGATATATTGCTTATCAGTAGTCTTACCAATGCATTGGTTTCTTTCTTGATCTCACTAAGAAATTGTATAAAAAGTGAACGTTTAGAATAAGTAAATCAGATTTGAAAGACAATCTCAACTAACAGCTTCATCTTTTCTTTTGATGTTTTACTTCCTCCCACCCGTGGTAAGGGTAAAACATTTAAGATTTAACTAACCTATTTATTAGCCTCTGTTCAGTTTCTTATCGGAAACCTAAACGAAGAACAAAATTTATTGCCACAAGTAGTTGTCGATAAGATACTATAAACAACAAACCAGTGCATTGGTCCTTAGGGTATTCGGTTGTTTGCATCTACCACATCTGCACATACCAAAAATAGCAATAAGCACTACAGTTTAGGTTTATTGGAATAAAAGTCAGATATGGAAATAACCTTTTTTTATTACAATAAATGTTCAAATTAAAAAAATGTTTAAAAATTAAAAATGATGGTTACACAATTATCACGAGTGGCATGTGGCGAATCCACATTTAATGCCAGAAGATAGATCCCAGTATCGCTTTAAAGTAAACCTGTGGACCGGAATTTTAAACGGCAAAATTATTGGGCCTTTAGACCTGCCTGAGAACTTGAATGGCACGAATTACCTACATTTTTTACGAGAAAATTTACCAACTTTGTTAGAGGACATACCACTAACAGTTCGCGCCACATGTAGTATCAACAAGATGGCTGCCCAGCGCATTACGCAGTGCAAGTAAGACATTTCCTTGACCAGGAATATCCGGGAAGGTGGATTGAACGTTCAGGCACTATCTCGTGGCCAGCCCATTCCCCAGATTTGGATTTTTTTTATTGGGGCGTTCTCAAAGAAAGTTTATTCAAAGCCTATTGAGAGCGTAGCCGAGCTGCGTGAACGAATTTCTCAAGCTGCTGAGGACATCCACTCTCGAGGATATGCCCGGCTAATAAGTAGATCTTTTTTAAAAGAGGTAGGGCGTGTATTGAGGCTGATGGTAAACAATTTGAACATTTATTGTAATAAAAAATGTTATTTCCCTATCTGACTTTTATTCCAATAAACCTCAACTAAACTAGGCCGAGTTTTCATTATTTTATTAATTTTACTTACTTTTGTTGACTTTGGTAAAAGTGGCGTCACTATCTGTCTCGCTCGCTCATGGCAAACATGTCCACTATCCATCTCTCTCATCATTTTGTCGTAAAATTAAGAACCTACCAAGAGCTTGTGCGAATAAAAAACATTTGAACTGAGTAAAATGGGTTAGCAAAAATCGGGTTGAGGTTTTTATTTTTTTACTGGTTTTTTTTTTTAGTATGAAACTGACAAGTATTGTACCATTTTACAATCCTGATTAAATGTGCGAACTTTTAATGGCACTTGCCACGGCACTTTAGCACATTTTTTTTTTTTTAAAGGAGGCCCTTCAAGTCGACAAATTATAAAAAATTTAAATTCATAGTTTAACAAATAGTCTTAATTCTAGAAAACTTGGGGCAATTGGGTCATTATTTTTGACTTAGGTTCTAGAAATGTTATTTAGGGTTAAGGTTCCAAAGTTTAAATGAACAAAAATAATAAAAATTAACCACAATAACCGAAAAATGGTTACAGTTTGACCAAATTTCTAGGTTTTTCTGAAATGCCCATAATTTTCAAACTGCATGGGATAGATTTTTTCTGATTTTTCTCATGATGGTTACAATCAATCCTGTCACCCCGTTTCGACTTGACGTTGAGTTCTGGGACACCCGGTATATGTATGTAGGATAAGTGATAATTTATGTATTTAGAGTAGAAATTTATGTAATATATAAATAAAGGTTCTGGGAAACCAGAAGTCAGTCTACACTCAAAAAACAGAATCACTATTCCTCTGCTATTTACCATAGCAG